CTTCTGAAGTGGAAAACTTTTAGTTTCCCCTGGTTTAATTTCATAAAAAAAGTCATCTTTAACGAAGCTTTGGCTATTCGATTAATAATAATAATAATAATTAATTAATTATTAATAATAATCGGAAAAATCATCAACAGATTAATTGATTTGCAAAATAATCGTTAGTTGCAGCCCTAGACATGATCATTAAGTCTTGCAGGAAAATTAAATCCGAATCTTTGTAAAAAGAAAAACCTGAACTGCTCTGAAATTACTGGTAGAAATGCACTTTTAAATAAAACACAATGGACCAATATCAGGAGATCACACTAACACCCCGGCTGAATCTGCAAACCTTTTGCCGGACCTACAGTAACTTGTATTCTACGCCTCTCAACTCTTCCTCTAGAGTCTGGGAGAATGAATTTTGTCAAATATATTGCAAAATATTTTTATATTTGAGGAAATTAGCTGACATGCTGAGCAGCAATCCACTAATCTTTTTTTTCCTTAATGCAGTTAGGCCGTTTAGAATGTTGTCTTTGGTTCAGGTGTAAGTAAGGTAAGAGTTGTAGCCCTAAGTCTCGATATGCATGTGTGTGTGGCAGCTGCTGAAGCTTCAACCCAGCTCCAGTCAGCTCTGTGTGAATCTTTTTCAAACTCTTGAATGACCTTTACTTAATTTTTTTTTTCAAGACTACAGTAAATCCCTGTTTTCTTTTTCTACTGCAAGTTTTCCTTCCACTTAACTCTCCATCAATGAAGTTGGATGCAGAGATTTCTCACTTAGCAGTTTAACAAAACCAAAGTTTTTGGCTTCCCCTCTTTTTGTTGGGTGTCACTGCAGTCTTCACCATGAGTTTTATAGTCGGTAACATTATAATTAGATATAATGGATGTATAAAAAACCTCTAGCAGGCCAAATTTCACTAAAAATTAAAAAGTCAAGGTGCATAAAAGTTTCCTCCAACAGCCCAAGAAGAACCGCTCACGACCTCAAGATGGAGGCTGAAGCACCATCAAGAAAAAAGCCACGCTCAGACTACTTTCAGGAAAATACTAAAACTTTCTATTGAAATAGTGGACAATTGGTCATATCGAGGCCCATCTCCTCATTTTTCTCTGAAAAACATGCACAAAAAAAGTTCTGAGTTCCTCGTTTGGCTATTCACCAATTCCCCCACACAACCCCTCACTATTTGAATTTTAAGCAATCTGAATGAAGAAGAATAAGAAGCACTTGAGATGAAATCCGTCTCTTGAAAAGGAATTCATCAAAGAAATGACTTCCCATATCAACAATAGAAATTACCTCACAATATGCAATTGTCCTTTCCACATATTCATGGAGCCCTTTGGTGTTTTTATAGGGTAAGAGGGACTATTTAGCAGGTAATACAGAATTAATGTGGATGAGAGGAAGAGAGAGAGAGAGAGAAAGCAGTCTTTTAATGGAAGTGCCTTCTTGCCTCAGAATTTTGATGATGTGCACAATGCCCTTAAATCCCTTTTCTTATTGGAGGTACTTTTTGAGCCTTAATAGGATAAGCAGAGGACACAAAAGATTTCTATCTCTCAACTCTTTCAGCTCACTGAGAATCCCAATCTCTGGCAATGTGCAGTTCATGAATCATTCATATTTTAATAGATTATGCAAATTCAAACACATAAAATCAACAAGATCAATCGCTGGAGGCATTTTTAATTGGCATTTAGAAGAAAAAAAAAACATCTTAAGGATGAACATACTCACCAGTTCCTTTCACCGTAAAGACACAATTAAGTTGAAATTGGATCTTCGCCTAAATGCTGCAAATGATTTGCTCCTTTTTTTCACAGCTTAAAATTCCTCTGGTAAGCTTATCACTGGCAAGTAAACTGTAATACTCAGTCATTAGGGAGACCACACACCTGAATATCACATTATCCACAGTGCCACTAAGGGGGGGAAACCAAGAAGAGGAGCCACTAACCAAATAGTAATTACCAAGTGAATCAAAGCAATGTTTGTTCCAATAGTTTGACCTCTGGATGCTTTATGTCTTTGCCTCCTGTGAGAACACAGACATGGGATAAACCTATCGTTTTCCCCAGTAGAAATATCTCTAATAGGCTCACTGATATGAAATTCCCCACAGATGTCAGAAAGTAATCCACTCGTTTAAATAGACCAAAACAAAGTAATCCATGTAAAAACGTCACTACAATAAAGTAGTAAGTCCACACTAAGTACTGAACACATAAAGAAAAGAAGCTTCAAAGAGGCATAGAAACCCAGGAAAACTGATAGAATCTGGTAGTTTTTAATGCCATGAAAAGTGTGTAACATGAGCAACAGTTTCAAACTACATAGATACTGTGACAGCTAAACAAGGAGCACTTTCAATAGACCTTGGCAAACATAATTTAGAAAAACTATTAGATGACAATATTTAAAGACATATTTCATATTTAGGAATGTTTCAAAGAGAAGCACTGGCTCTATATTGTAGATGTAAAAAGATCATAAGTTCATAAACCAGACATTAAATGGTGCGTAAACATGATCAAAACAGCTAAATTGAAAACAAAGACCACTTCATTGAGCTTTTTCAATACTATGGTGCAGTTTTTTATTAATATATCAGGTTATATGAGACTTTACAACAATGGCTTCTCTGCACACACTGCACAATACTCCACAATTAGGGAAACAGTGTGTTGAAATTAATTGAAAGTTGCAAAATAAAATTTTAAAAAGCATGTGAAATAGAAAGAGAATGTCTGCTCAAACAAGGATAAGACCCAATGGATGCCGTTGTTGCACATATTTATAGAAAATAATGGGACATAAACCCCAAAAAAGCCATGCCAAGAATAGAATTTGGTATAGGAAGAATTATGGTGTCAGGCTGTGTTTCAGTTTACGTTACTAGCAGATATAAAATTAGATACAGTAGAGGATGAATGAAGACATGTTAGTTAAACAAAAGACACAGCCGATAAAACTTTTCACTGGTATCAGGGAAAGAAAACTAAAAAAGAAAAATCAACAGACTGAATCCAGTGTAACATTTTGGAAAGGGCTGAAAATCAGAGAGCAGATAAGAAGCACCAAGACAATTTTCTGAGAATGGTAGAAATTAACACCTGAGCGAATACACTATGAGTTTCTTTGTACAAGAGATGTTTTAAAAAGTTATTACCCAAAGAATATTTTCTACTTAATAAAAAAAAAAAACATGCTTAGTGCAACTTTTATTTATTAAGACTTGATATATGGACTCATTTATATGAATTGTTTTGAGTGGATTCCTTAGGGAAAAGACATCTGATGTATGTTTCATGAAAACAGCATCATTTGAAAAACATTTTAAGAAGAAAAATGGTGATGTATTGAATATTTATATTGCCCTGCATATTTACTAACACCAAAAGCAGGTCAGCATGCTGATATGATCACATGCCTGTCTCCCACCCCCCAGTCTCTTACTATGCACCTGTGAATCAGTAAGGATAGCCTTTCTGCAGAGGCCATCTCTAATATTCCAGGTGCAAACAAAGCTGCCTGCAGACCCAGGTTTCCTTTCTGTTGGACCATACACAAAGGACAAACATCCACCTTTCTTCTCACGAGGGGCCCGCCTCACAAGGGGAGAAATCTACCTCCCACATATTAATGAGAAAAGGGCTCTTTCTCTTCCTGTAAGACCTCTTGACTATCATTTGAGAAGGAGAGCTGCAGTAATTTTCAATCCCACCACCAGTCCACACACACAACCACACACAGAACTCAATGCCTTTGATAGCGTCTGCATAATTATATGAATTTTAATAAAAAGCTCCGTATATTAATCTCGGGTACCGACAGTCATCGTAAACTTTCAGTAAACTTAACCTTCTTCTTGGTAATAACACTGCAACAACGGAACAATATTTCAATTAGCCAGGCAGTCATTAACTGTGACAAGGAGAGGAGACGAGGAGGAGGAGGGGAAAGAAACAGAGCAAAGGAGCGACAGGAGGGTGAAATAAATGATCATGGTGTTAGAGTCAGGCGGCAGAAATGCCAGAGCGTATTTACCGAAGCACATTACTCCTGCTCTGAGCCACACAAACTGCCTCCTTGTGAAAAAAGAAAAAAGAAAAAGAAAAATAATCACAGGAGCAGCTGACTGTCTTCCACAGTAGCTTTTTTTCTCCCTTGCTTCCCAGAGACCTTGCTCCGATAGTCATAGGTCTGATCCACTGACACCCAAAGGTCCTTTTCCAATTGGGACTGAAGAAGTGCCCAGTCTTTCTTAAAATGATGCTTATTCAGCAAAAAACGGGAGAGCAGCTGTAAGTTGTTCGCATTAGTCCATTTTTGTTTTAGCTCAGTATCGCATAATGTGTTTGTTTTTTTTATTTTCACTTGTTTTACTGTTCTGTCTGATATTGTTTTCTATTTTTCCATAGAAATGGACTGAAATGACAAGAATCGGGTGATTTTAAACTTCAGAGCTGCCTGACAGAGAATAAAAAAACTCCATCTAATGGGTGAACACACCAGTACAACATTTCAGCAAATAAGCACAAATAATAGTCTTTTGCTGTAATTTGAATCAACTAAATCTTTAAGCTGATAAAACAGGTAGTAACAGGGTCACTGTCAGTGAAAAATTCTCAAAGTTATCAGCTTTAACTATCAGTGATGAGCTATTTAAAATGTAAACATTTTTTCTATGAAAACCTAAGTCTCTTAAAACTTAAGAGACGTAAATAAGCCTAAACAAAGGTCAAACTAAACAAAGTACAGTAATGTTCCTGTGTTTTATTTGTTTGAACCTCTTTCATGTAAACTCAATTTGTAGGAATTTCCTACCTCCTTATATTATTATTATTTTAAATTGGACTCAGCTAAAATGAATTCCACAAGGTCAGTGCTTCACAAAAACGAGGAAATTAGCCACAATTTCTTAAATGGTGCATCTCTGTAGTTCCCTGCCACCCAGCTTGGCAGTGTAAAGCCATATTGTTAATGTGGCACATGATCTTACCTACAGGGTAGCTTTGCGACACACTGGGGCCCAGGTCTGGGTTGGCGCTAGAGGATAAACTGGGCTTGACTTCGTCCAGGCTGGAATTCAGGACAGGAAGCGAGTACTCATTAGCCTGGGAAAAAGAAAAAAAAAAGGACAGTTGAATCATTACACAACCAAACAATACCGACATGGAAATCCTCCTTTTCTCCTCCTCCATTAAGCACTCCACAATAGCCTGTGTGAGTATAAATTTGGAGGAGCATTGTGTGTGTGTGTGGCCATGGATTTGCTACCTAGAGGGGACAGAGTAAGGCCAGTTTCCCAGGAACATGCTACATATTGGGGACTCCAGTCAACTGGTCCCCATGAGGAAATGTTCGCCTCTTAAGTTGGGGGTCAGGTTTATGAATAAGTTTTTAAATGAAAGTTTAAGTTAAGGTTAGTCTGAGTTATATGTCAGTAAGGGTAAGGGTCTGGGTTAGGTTGTACAAATAAATGCAAAATGAATGGAAGTCAATGCAAAGTCCCCGCAAGGATAGTGGGACATAATATGTGTGTTTGTGGATGCATGTGTGTGCATTCTGCAGGGTGGCAGTTCAAGCATATCATGAATGTATTTTGGTATTGTTTGAGAAAGGAAGTGGGATTTTGAGATGAGTGAAAAGCCAAGGCGTCAGCTGGCCCTTTGTGCTTGACTGCAGTCCTACCCCTGATCAGCCAAGGGAGAAAGCAGTTCTGCTTTGTTACAGACACACCATGTGGTCCTTTTAAAAAAAAATACAATTCATTGTTTTCCTTTAGCTTGTGGCTCTTAATTTGGATTCTAAACCATGTTTAAATAAAATAAATGAGATAACTGCATGCACAGCTTTTGATTTACTCTAGAGCTCTAACAGTACCACCTTACAGAGAAAAAACAACATATATTTCAAATTTAATCATAAAAAATGATTATTCCTGTCGTGTTTCCTTGTCTCATATCTTTTTTTTTTCTCTAGAAGTAAGTGAGCTAATTGCTAAGTTTATAACAGCTTGTTTCAAAAACTTTTCTTTTATTTGTTGAGGTTTTAAAATCTCCAGATGGAATAAATGTATCCCTTTTACCATAATTGAACTTGTAGTTAATTATGTTTCAGTTTCATTATTAATAAGATGTACCATAAATAAAACAATATGCCTCATGTTGACTCTAAATAGTATTAGCACCTGTTTTCTACATAGATTTTACTTTGAGGGAAAATCTCTCCATCTAAAACTTTTTTGAAGTTTTGAAATCAAATTATTTAATCTTATTGTTAACAAATAACCCTTAATAATAGTAATAAAGCAGAATGTTGAAAATGTCTATTTGCTTCGTCTCAAAAAGAAACCAATGTCAAATGTTTGCAGATTTTTTTAATGAGATGAGACTTCCGGACACTTAGTGTTGACAATGCTTATCAAAAGTCAAGTGTAAGCGGCTCGGTGGGCTGTGCTCCCACAGGGCGGGATGCCCCTGACCCTTCTCTTGTCTGTCAGTATCACAGATAAACTCTAATTGTCTGCAACAACTGTTCGCTGGCATAATGTCGGATGTTTGGCTATATTCTAGCAGGCTTCAGACGCCACACAGACGTTTTATCATGCAGATAAAGGGCAGGAGGGATGGAAGTGAAAAGATGGGTCTGAAAGGGATGACCAAATGGCTGGCAGAAGTGTGGGAGGGGTGAATCCATTGAGTTTTGCATCTCCAGAATGGGTTTTTAATGCTCCTCGCTACAGAACCCAGACACTGGCTAATAGGGCCACGTTTTCCAGGGGAGAAAAAAAAAACAAAACCAGAAACAAAACATGAGGCACCCATGAAAGGGCGACAGTACCCTGATTAATATTGGAGTAAATTAAAGCAGATTTATCTCTACCATTTCAAGACCTACTTTCTTCTTTTTTTCTCATGCAACCATTTTTTCCCCTTATTTAGCCTTTCCCCCCTGCCTTTTAACACTCTCCCTGACGCTCTTTGTGATTGCAAGTCATTTCCAATTCGTTTCGGTATTGATCTTCCAGTAGGAATCAGTTTTGTAATTAGCTGCAAATTAGGCCTTCTTCTGGAGGTGAGGCCTGTCCTACTGATTTATCACCTGCGTAATTTGCCCCGATTGGTGAGAAATTAAAATGAACTCAATTAGGGGACTGCTTTTTATTTTATGGGTCTGACTCGTAGTTTGTGGGGAGAAATTAATAGTCTCTTGTTATTTAATAGTATAATGAAAGAACTGTAAATAAAGGTTATCCATGGTAATAAGCCAAGAGCCTTTAATAAAATTTGTTTTTTGACTGTAATTTAATAGTGCACACTGGCAGTTTTCCCATGTCTATCCATTTTCTCTACATAAAAAGCATTGTAATAATATGTTGATATGTAGTGCTGGATGCTGTTTGCAAAGTTCTGCCTCAAGTCGTTGTCTCTGCTAGGTATGGACCAATTACCTTTTTATAATGTACCAATGTTTTATTAAAATGTAGGCCATACTTGAAAACAAACATGTCATTTCTTTAACTTTAAACTTCTTTTTCTTACAACCTAATGGAACGTAGCATAATCCAGTGTTGCTGCACACTGCCCCATAGGCTGGCTGAACAAAGGCTGCAACACTTTGCTAACAAGAAATGCAAATATGATGCTGAAAGCAGAGGAGTGATGCTTTAATGTGAAGACATGTAACTAAAGGTACTGTCAGATCGTTTGGAGAATTATTCTCCAGTTTGTCTCAACCATGCTGATTGAGAGCTAAAGTTTAAAATTCCCTATCTGCCTGACTTTCAGGGAAATGGGATACACTTCAAATGCTCAGAATAAACAAAGTAGCTTATATTAATTATTTTTGGAAATTAATATTAACTGTCTATTGGGACCGAAACCCAACCTGATTAGAAAAAAAAACAAAACAAGAATGCAAAAAGCTGACAAAAACTTAACTAGAAAACAGTTAAACAGTTGCGACATAATAGCCTTATATTTCAGATTGGCTGTTTTGCTTCTTAGCTTTCGATATAGTTTCAAACCATCTCACCAACAAAAATCTCAGAAAATAAAAAATTCCTAAAGAAAAAAACAAAAACAAATAACAACAGAAAATGTAGAAAAATACATTGTTAAACCCTTTTGCCCTTTGCGACGGCCAGCTTAATATTCAATAAAAAAAGAAATACACATTGTTGTCTTAACTCGTAAGATTTTCAGATATGCTTTCCTTGTATTGAGTTTGTCAGCATTGTGCATATTTGCAATTATTCAGTATTGTCTTTTTTTAAATATATATATATATATATATATATATATATATATATATATATATATATATATATATATGCATACAGAGTTTTAAAGAGTTCCTTATTTGTTCAGGAACCTGGCTCATGAAGCTGAATCTCATTGTGATTAAAAAAATGACTTAGAACTGGGTGGGTAATAATTTTCTCCTCTTGGCTTACATTATTTCCTCTGAAGCTCCAAACTGAGGCAAGAAACAACCAGTTTACTTTGATTTAATTGTGTTATAAGCAGGATTACATTAGACTTCATTCATACATGAATGGGAATATATGACTGAATTTTATAGAATGTTTTTTTATTGATTTTAAAATAATTTTAACACATGTAATTGAATATGAATTTAAACAATTTATCCAGTTTACTGGATTTTGAATATCTTTTTTTTCCCTTGTAAATCAGCATTAAATGTATAAAACGGAACTTAAAGTAATCAGTGGAACTAGATATATTTGGGGTTTTATCTCTATACTAATATAACTGATCTATGCAATTTTATCAGTAGCAGCGATAGTTTAAATGTAAGTAATTTAATCATTTCATAAAGTTTTACTAAAGTTTAGGTTTTGAATTCTAAATAAAAGTGGTATTTTTATTTTAAGTCATTATTCCATGAGAATCTTCTGCTAGACCATTCTTAGCCTTCACAAATAAACACATAAGGCAGAACTGTAAACAACAAAGGTAAAAACAGCTATAAAAACTAAAGAAAATCTAGATATTGATTCATTTCATGCTGCTTCACTGTTATTCTCAATTACAGCAGGTACAAGGAAAGTGTTTTTCATTACAAAATCAATAACATGTGGGAGTTTTCCTGCTGATCCCTCTAGTATTATACAAGCTCAGACTGTGTTCTGTGTTTAGCCATTTCTAGCTGGTTTTTAAATTAGCTGTTTACTTCACAGTATATTTGCATTATATTTTGTGTGTTTATGTGAAAAAGTGGAGACTAACCTGTTCCGGTTTGACATGATCCGATGGGGGGAAGACATCCGGGTACGAGGGGCGCTCAAAGACCCGGTCCAGGGCTTCCAGCTGCTGCTGAGTGAAGGCGTCTGCCCTTAGGTGCTTCCGTAAACTCTCCACGCTACCCTGAGAATCACTGTTTGGGCCAGAACCATCTGAACCATCTACAAGAAGAGAGAGCAACAATCGAGACACTGACCCCGGGAAGCTGGCCTTCACTTCAAGCTGTGCACTTTATATTCTCCTCATGTAGCCCTCTAAAGGGGCTCTCACCTAAAAATAAGGTGGGTGGTGATTGTTTTCACCTAAACGGTTGCTGTTAACCAGTTGCTACATCACATGTAGTTTTCCCTGCACAAAATTAACAGCACAGTCGTCTGAGGTGCTTGTGGTAATTGATAGATTGCAGTCACTTGTGCAGATATAATTGTTGAAGCAAGCGTGTGAAATGATTAAAGACCAGTGAGCCCATTAAAGTGATTTTTTTAACTTTCATTCCCGCCTGAAAACCTCATTCTTCCTTTCTCCTCTTGAAAAGGGCCCAATGTATGTTAAAATAAGGGGACTTTTTAAAGTACAATCCTCCTTTTCCATTTCAATTGTGCCTTTATTCTCTCTGAGCATGCAGTTCAATTTGGAAGCAGAGGCAGAGAACAAGAGGCTGAATAAAACTGCACAGTCTAGTTCAATCATCCCTACTCTCCAAACGTGGGAATTTTGTCCTGACTCCTGACCTGATTACCTTGCTGTTCAAGAGAGGATACCTTAGCTTTTATCGCTGTGTGCAAATCTTTTAAACGTTTTTACTGGCAGTCCTTTCACAAACCCCACCACCCCTATCACTGGCTGTAACGTAGTTCCCCCAGAATCCAAGAAAAGCTTCAGCTCCCTTACAAATCTGTCATTCTAAATTTGCTGCAGATTATGTTCTTCCCTCAGCGGGAGAGCAGTGATATATGATATGCAAGGCCCTGCTATTGATTGCCTGATCTGGTGGCAAGAGGGAGCCGAAATGAACTCGAAATGAACATCATGCCTCAACTCGTTGTGTGTATAATACTCTACTTAATCCCACGTTTTCCCCCGCCGTTGAATTCAATTGATCAATCATGTCTGGGCGATAGCACCATTTGGAAGGGTTAGTGCCTTTCCATTCAGCTCTCTGACCTTTTGTCAGGGTCAGAGGATGAACCTGGCTCTCCAAAGACGAGCTGGAGGAGCTATAAAATGGAGTGGGAGAAGGAGTGTGTGTCTGAGAGTCTGCAAAATGTGCATAACTAGATCTGTGCTGACAGCCGCAAAATTATGAAGCAATGATTTGTCTGGTAACCTTTTTGCTGCTAAAAATAATGATTCATCATTTGAATTTTTCAAACAATTTCATAGACCCTTTGATTTGAAGCTTTTCTTCTATATTATTTTCAGTTCCCTGTGTGTGTTATAGTCAATTCACTACAAATCAGTTATGAGTCTAAATAACACACATATAGGAAGGTCATTAATGAAAACCTTGTATTTGTGTACGGTTTAGCTCTCTTTCAACATGCTGATAATGTCCACATAGGAAGAGGGATGTTTTTACCTTTACTATTTTTCATATGGGTGTAATGGTAAAAAACAGGAGATTTCTCTTACAAAAACAAAGATCAGAAATCAGGAAATTGACAAAACCAGAATGGAGTGTATTATATGACGAAAATAGCAGGTACAGCCTGTGTAGGATGTTTGGCTTTATGAAAATGTAAAGCATACACTGATCATCAGAACATGATAAATACTGGGAGGAGGATAGGAAAATACAATTACTATCTGCAATGTGATTTATCAAACATGAAATGGACTGTGGATGCAGTTTTTGCATCTATTTCTGTTACATTTGAAATCAGACAGGTTTGCAAAAATATCTGCCATCACTGTGGAGACATAAATGCAATAATAGAATATGGAGAGAGAGCACATTCTGTGTGATGAAAACTTATTAAGACTGTCATCAAAACAAGGGGAAAAATAGCTTGCAAACGTAGTTAATTATTCATCTAACGAATTACAGTGGAATATCTATGAAGGAGTTCTTTTATTAAATATATCTGTGTTCATCAGTGGTAAAAATCATTCTTAAATTATATTTTCATATCAAACAAAAAGCTTCACTCTGCATTTTCAGATCTTATGGCCACTCTTCACACACCTATATTACTGGAAAAGCACAGTCTGTCATCTCGTTATCTAAGTTATGTATTAGGAGTTATCATTTTTTGGTCAGAGAAAGTAAAATAAAAACTTTGTCTTCTGTTTTATTTGATGCAGTTGATGAACTTCTTTGTTGTGGAAAGTCTCTGCTGGCAAAACCAATTACTTTTACCCTTTTTTCTGTAAACTAAAATCATGATACTTTCTTTAATAAAAGAAAAACATTACAAACGTAGGGGGTTTCTGGAGAGTTGTTTTAAACATTATTTTAAAAAGATTTAAACAATGAGCTTGATTGGTTTCAAACAGTAAGGGTGTTAATGCCTCAAAGTAACACAACTGCATTTTCTCCATGTAATAATAACTCATATGATCTGCAGGCAGTGCTGATGCAAATTGAGGCTACTTTTGGGAGGTACAAAAACACCACTCTGCTAACCTTCTTTCTTTTGACAGGCAATTTGTTAATACACCAAATCCTCAGTTACACAGGGTGGTCTGCAATGCTTTTACACCTGTCAGCAATTGCTCTTACAGTTTTAGAAAATTACCTGCAATACATCTACCAATTGGATGAGCATTTTTTAGTTTGCACAGGCAATTCAGTGCTCATTATTTTTTTGAATTGAAATTGATCAGACCCTTACTGTAGTATTTATATAATCTCAGAGATATAGATACTACATTAATTACTATGTTAATATAGGCAAAAATGTAACTAGCATGAATACTACAGGAATCAAACGTTGCCACTTCCACATTGGAGAATATTGTTACTGTTGTTGTTAAGAATATTAAGCTTTTTACTAAGGCAAATGTAAAACATGTTATGTGTACTGGGGAATAGTTGATTGTTTAGTACATAGTAGATTGATAGCAGATTAATTTCTACGACATCTTGCAAAAACTTTCGATATAATAACCAAGAGACCAAAAACTAGAATGTAACATTGTCACTCAAAATGGGATTGCAATAAAGACTAAATTCATATAATAAATGTCTAAATATGTGGAAAGGAACTTATACCATCAAGTGTATGTCGTTGTATGTGATGTGTTCTGGCTTGAGAGTATAATTAGCAAATCTTTCACCAGATAATGTTAGTTGTCACTTTTTTCCATACATGCTGTGACGTCAACTGCTCTGTTATTGCTCTTCCCTGTTTTTTCTAAGAGCATAAAACAATCAAATTTATAACATTTTAAAGGTTGACATTGATCTATTCTAAAACAGCTAATAAGATATGTATTTTGCTATGGTATTTATCTTAAAACTATTCAGTGTAACAAGTGCTGTCAAAGCCATTTCATAATTTAAGGTAAAAAATATATGGAAATTGTTTTTTTTTTTTTTTTAATATATGGAAAATTTAAGCCTTTACCTTGTTGTACCATTTAATTCTTTAATAACGTTTTTTTTTTTCGTAATATCTTACAATATGAGCTCCTGGAAGAAAAAATTGGTAAGGTAGAAATCATTTTCATTACTTCATGCAACAAACCCAACCTTTTTTAATAGTTAATATCTTTTTAACTCGTACTAATTTCTTTTAAAAAAATATGCACCAGCTCCTGCATAAGAAACAAACATCAACTCTGAAAGTTTGGCACAATCAAATGAATGTTTTTTTCTACACGGCCACATGAAGACCACTCACCTGTTACTACAGCTCTTTGTCACTATCAAGCTGAGTTGTTCTCTTTTCTATCAGAGTAAATAGAGTCATTAATTACACTCCATTAGCTAGCCTGAGCCACAGCACCTGATCAATACCCCCCTCCACAGCCATATCTGTCATTCACCACTTCCCACGCACAAGACGACCCATCCTGGGTCAAGCTGCACACTCTTATCCCCACTCAAACTGTGGACAGTAGAATCTGGCCTTTTCACTTTTAACAAACCTGCAGCCCTCTGACACTCCAGTAATGATAATATGTAAATATAAGCCTACACTCACTACTTTAATACAATTATAATATTGAGGCATGGCTTGTATGAGATTCTCACAATGTGACACACTGAAATAACATGATAGTTTCTAAATTTACATCCTGTTATTTACATCCTGGACTTGTTAAATGTTAAACAAAAGCACCAGGTAATGAGCAGGGAGAAAAGCAACAACAACACTTCTTTTAGATAAATACAATCAGTAAAAAAATCTCCCTTTTTCCAAGTTTTGATATATCTATACATTTTTTATTTATTATCATATTTTTTCTCTAAATCTTGGGATATTTGCAGCATACAAGCAGCCCATTCTTGCCAATAAAGACTCACACCTGCTATTGATACCCTCTATTGAAGAAGCCTTGTAAGCACATATACTCATGCATATAGACCACAGGTGCTTTGTTCCAGGTGTCCTCGGGTAAACACCAAATACTAAGCTGCAGCTACATATATGTACTACTCTGAACCACATTGTGTAGACATCATAGTTTTTGCCTAATATATGCACCGATTGACTAGGTGCCTATGGGATACTCACTGTCATTGGGGCAATTGTTTTATTTTTTGGTTAATTTTGTTTTCTTCCCTGTTTTTTCCCCTCTTGTTTCATGCAGGTGGGGGACAGACTTCTAGGAGTCGCTGTATATTTCCCATGTTGTTTGTTTTTCTTTTTCTTTCTTCCTTTTCTCTATATCTTTCTCTCTCCACTTAATTCATATCCCCTCTCCCTTTCTCAGCTCCCTTTCCGTCTCTGTGTCTGTTACATACAAATTAAGCTTCATATATCACAAAAAGAAAATAATCTCTGGAAGGAATGCAACGGTATAGCTGTCCTAAAAGTAGTAGGGACAGCCTCTCTGTAAGCTTCCAGAAGCTTGTATTTATCAATGTGGAGAGTATGTCATGGCCTTAATGTTCATAGGGTTGTGAAAGGAAACCAGCATACCAACAGGAAACCCACATGTGTGAGTAGAATGTGCAAACTCCTGATAGAAAGGCCCAGATTGGAACCCAGGA